TGCAAATTTGGAGGAAGGAATGTGGAAACAAGAGTGAACAGGAAACGAAAGACAAAATCATTTCGCCAAGGCTGTCCTTTCGAAGTCCATATCACCCTGTCGGAAGATGGCAAATATCTGCAAGTGAATCGCATTTCGACAACACACAACCATGTTCTCCAAAAACAAATTTATGAGAGTCTTCCTCGACAACGAGCTGCACGAACTAAGGAGGTGACAAGGGACATCGAGGATGCAATCAAATTTCAGGCCAATCCCAAACTTCTTAAACAGAAGATTGAGACTTCTACTGGGAAAAAGGTGACATTGAAGGACATCTCCAACATAAAACAAAATTCAAAGAGAAATATTCAGAAGAATGATCTCGAAGATGTCATAGGCTATTTGAAGAAACAGCCAGGTTGTTGTACAGATGTTGTTGTTAACGAGGAGAATAATTTCAAAAGTCTGTTCTACCAAGACGCGCGCATGCAAAACATCTATACCCATTTCCCAGAAATTCTCCTAGTAGATGCGACGTACAAGCTATTAGATCTTCGAATGCCTGTTTATTTGCTTATGGGCATTGACGGTGACGGACTTAGCGAGGTTGTGGCTATGTTCATTGTAGCGGAAGAGACAAAGGAGGTGATACAGGCAACTGTGGAATTATTCAAAAAGCATAATCCTTCTTGGGATGAAACAAAAGTTGTAAAGTCAGACAAGGATTTCACAGAACGAGACGTGTTTAAATCCTGCTTTCCGGCCTTAAGTTTAAGTATTTGCCTTTATCACACTTTAAGATCCTTCAGACGTGAAATCACGTGCGAGAAGATGGGCATTACATCCGCGGAGAGACTGAGGGCACTCGAAATTCTCTCCTCCTTGGCACATTCTAAGACTGCAGGCGAATACGAAAAACATCTTGATGAACTAAAACGAATTTCAGAAGTGTTATCGATTATGTCTTGGAGAATTGGCATCCCATAAGAGAGCAATGGGTAGTTCACAGACAAGCATTTGAATTTAGGTGAAACCACCAACAACAGACTGGAATCCACTTTCAGCAAGTTCAAAAGGTTTGTTCGAGATACGCAAGTTTGCTGCAGTTTTGCACCGAATTCATGTCAGTGTTGCGATGTTTAAGAGAGGAACGAAACCACCATTACGCGATGGCAGTCACACGAAGGCAAACTGAATTTGAACATCTGTGCAAAGATCTCCAGGAATATTCAAAAACTCTTACACCTTATGTAAGTCTTGGTTAGGAGCTCGAAACTTGGCTGCTATGTAATTGTCCAGGAAGTGGGACGGACAGAAACCGAAGCCGACCTGGAAGCAGAGGACCCTAGTGAAACTCACCATGAAAATTACATCTCGGTAGAACAGGTAAAGGAAGACAAGCCGACAGGAAACACCGATGAAAGAGAGCTGGAAGCAGACGATGAACCGGTGAATGAAGTAAGTAGTCAGAATGAGAATAAGGACGAAATCTTAAAGGAGGACTCCGTGGTAACACATGGTGATGAGAGAAAGGGCATTAAGTCACCTGACTTTTCGCAAATAAAGATGCCGCCCAAAATTCTAAAAAGAGGCCGTCCGAAGGGAGCGGAAGTGACGGTAATTGGCCTCCCAAAGAAAAGGAAGAAAACAGAAGTCAGAATAAGTTAGTTTCCTTCAAGAAGCTCAGTCCGATCGAAAAAGACCGAATGATCCTAGGCTCTCTGTCAACGTCACTAGCCGTTGGTGAAGCCATTGCGGGTCATCGATTGCTGAACAAAGAAGACATTTTGCCAGTTGGAAAAATGTCAGATACTATCAGGGATGACGAAATGGTGGACATCCATCGAGTTGAAAAGTACTTTGATAGAGATGCATGGTTGTTAGTTTTAAAATCAAGTAGGGAGAAGAACTGCATAGACTTTGTTTGTTCTGTTTGCACAAAAATGATAAACGACGAACATGAGGACAGCATTGCTTGTGACAGATGCCTTCTTTGGTCGCATTTTAAATGCACCTCGTTTAAAAAGCGTCCAAAGCACCGAAACTGGTTCTGCACATCGTGCAGAGTGAAATACGCATGATTATTTACAAGAGAGAATGAAGCGAGAGAACCAACGGCCTGAAATAGCCCTGTTTCAATGATAATTATATGTGGTTTCCCCCTAATCTTAGTGCACGGTCATAACAGTGGTTATTTTAAGGTGGAAATCTTCTTGCTAGATTGCTATGGTGTAATATTATCTAAATGGTATGAAATGAGTTCTCCGTTTGTGAATAAAATCCACATGGCACATAGTGGAAAGTTATTAGGAAAAGAAAGTATAATGTTGAACGGTGGTGCATTCTCTCGTCCCATTCTCTCTTTCCTTTAGTTAACAGTTTCGTCGCTTATACCATTGCAGCGATAAAAGGGTGTATCTGGCGATGACTACTGTGGTTGTGATTTCTACCACAAGAATACCTATTGCCTACCATTGGCTAATTACTCTTCATAAGTTCCATATGTCTTTGGATGGATGTGATAAATGATTTTGTCTTATCATTTAAGCTGTAGTGAAGGACCAAGGAAACTTTTTGGGGACTTGGACATAAAATTTGGGAAAGAAAACATAGGGAACGGGTTCAAAGAAACGTTATAATGCTAGATACTAATTTGATTTCCAGAATCAGGTGCCCTGCGCTGCTTCAAATCACATTCGCATTACTAATTTTTTTTTTTAAAAAAGGGTTAACTTCATTACTCTTTTCTTGGATTGGTCGATTGGAACGATCCCATCAGATTATTATAATCACAATCAGTAATACTGGTAGATGAAGAAGCATGAAGTTAGAGTTCTGCTATGCCGCACGTGGCCACTTATTTTGAGATTTGAATGAAGTGGTTACATTTGCATCTCAGTTTTGAACATTTGTAGCAAGATTCAGAATTCCAGTGGGAACCTAGCCTCCGAATACAGCCGTCTCTAATCGCTCTCCGTCGTTGGTAGGTTTCGGGAAACGTCTCTAGCGACGGAGAACGATGTCGCAGGCTTATGATAACCTCGTTAGTTTTAGTGAGATACAGCGTTGCGCATACAACATCATGTTTATACCAAAACATACGAGAAATATTACGTTTTATGTGTAAAGTGATAATACATTTTTATTTATTTATTTATTTTATCTTTATTTACCACACAATAATTACAAAAAAAATATGAAAACAAGAAAAAAAGAAGTGGCGAGGAGACCTAACAGAAACTATAGGAGCTTATGAGAGGTTAGGCCTCCTCGAACTACCGGCTAGAGCTGTTTCACATCAATTGAAGAAAAGATGGCGAAAAGTCGAAGATGGAAAGATTTAAGAACTGTTTTCATACTTACTCAATAATTTAATCTTCAGTTTTTTCTCAGTAAAAGAGGAAAGGGATTGAGAGTTGATGACCTTGTTGTCAAGTGAATTAAAAAACTTAGGCCATTGATTGCTTGATTGATATTGCTGTCAATTCAGGACTCTTTCATCGAGACAGATTTTCGGAGATTTTCCGAGAAATGCTCAACATTCTGTTCGAATGGTCATTACTTTCCGATGTTAGCTTTACTGAAAATCAACCTAGAAAGACCTCACTGTTTTAAGCTCTTACGCAGATATACATGTACTTATGAATTGTGGACACGATCATGTAATTTCAAAAGTGAGTCAAACAATTAATTAATTAATTACTTTTTTAAGAGAATAGGTAATGCCATGTATGTAAATGGTAATACCTTAATAAATTGTTGTTGTTGTTGTATTTGTGTACAAAAGACAGATAAAAACCTGGCCTGACTGGGTGTGACGATAGTAACTTCTGTGAGTCGCGGAAAAGAGATGTCAGGACACTTTTATACTTATAGCTGGTTTTTTTCGATTTTGTGAGATTTACTGAGAATATAGGACTGCCGGCCATTTAGTGTTTTGAAAACCTTGACCGGCAGTCGAACTGAAAAAATTTCTAAGTGTCACAAAACATGGTTTCCTCCTCTTAGCCCAGCGCAAACCAAACACTAGACTTGAGATCTGTAAAGCATTTCAGGATCGCTTGACTTTTCTAAGTCGACATATGATAGTTTACATTAGCTGGAATCTTTCGATTTTGTGAAATTTACTGAGAATAACGGACTGCCGGCCATTTAGTGTTTTGAAAACCTTGACCGGCAGTCGAGCTGAAAAGTGTCACAAAACATGGTTCAGCGTAAACCAAACACTAGACTTGACATCTGTAAAAGCTTGTAAAGCATTTCAGGATCGCTTGACTTTTCTAAATCGACATATGATAGTTTAGATTAGCTGGAATCTTTCGATTTTGTGAAATTTAGTAAGAATATAGAACTGCCGGCCATTTAGTGTTTTGAAAACCTTGACCGGCAGTCGAGCTGAAAAAATTTCTAAGTGTCACAAAACATGATTTCCTCCTCTGAGCCCAGCGTAAACCAAACACTAGACTTGACATCTGTAAAAGCTTGTAAAGCATTTCAGGATCGCTTGACTTTTCTAAGTCGACATATGATAGTTTACATTAGCTGGAATCTCTCGATTTTGTGAAATTTACTGAGAATATAGAACTGCCGGCCATTTAGTATTTTGAAAACCTTGACCGGTTACCGGCCATATAGCCACAGCGAAAAAGTTAATGGTAATAACACTCAGTAACCGCTTTGTTTAATTGAGTCACAGCGGGGACCAAAACTTCGTTACCAAATAGTCAGATCGCCATATCCAATTTCGCGTTTCCGTGAAATGTGTGGTTCGTTTAAAAAAGTTTTTTTTTAACAAAGTTTCTGGACAGGCAATGTGTCCGGCGCTCTCTAAAGGTGTCTGGAGGAATGCTTAAAACTAAATGCGTAACGCCTGTTTGTTATTGGAAACCGATCTGCGGTGGTTGCTGTGGAGATTAGGCCTCCTTGGGCTCGCACTAAAATCGGGCCTCTGGCTTATGATAAATGTTTACTTTCTTATTCCCCCCTGAAAAGAAGTACCGATCAACAGCCAGTATTGGTTATAAATCACTGAAGTTGCTTACCGAGGTCGTTGAACGTGGCCTTGTTTTCTCAACAGAAAACTTTGAGCTGGGCGAAGGCATCTTGCTATGCACCAGTGTCTCAAGACAAAGCGTTTTAATCCCTGGCACTCGCTGCATCTCCTCTGTGTTTAGTTCTTCAACCACACACTTGGTGTCGACCAGCCCCAGACGAACTGCTCCGATAATTTTCGCTGCGACAGAAATCCTCTCTTCCTTCTTGTACTTGATCCACTGCATTACGGATTTGAAGACGAATGTCTCGGAAGGAGCACTGAGGTCATCTCGGCTGAGAAGATTTAAGAACTGATCAGTGTCAATTTTAGACAAGAATTCTTCGCTTTCACAGACCCCCTTAAACACCGAAGCCATCTTGCACAATGTAGCTTCTTTAAGGTCTTTTAGACCATGAAAATCAGCAAATTGAAGAAGATGAAGATAAGTTTGGATGTCCATGCAACCTTGAATGTATTCCTTGTCCAAGAAATCACAACACTGTCGAACAATAATTGCCATTTGAAGACAGTTGGCAGTTGCCAGAACTTCAAACACGTTTTCCTCCTTAACAAGGAGCTCTCCACTGTAGATAAAATCCATTATAATCTTAAAACCCAGTGCTGAAAGGTTTTCACCTTTGAGCTCGATCGTTTTCTTGTTTGATTCCTTCATTCCATGTTTGAACATTGCATGGAAATAGTCGCTATTAGCAGCGAGAACATTGCGGTGCGCAAGAAAAATCGACTTATTTACCTTCAGACGAACGTCAATGAATTCTCCGTTTTCTCTGAACTGGCCTAACTTGAACAAAAGATGCGCCGCCATTTTGGTGATGCGATATGTGTCGAGACAGCGCCCTCTCATATCAAAGAGTCTTCAAATACCGGTAGTCTTGTGTGGGTCATTGAGGTGTCATGCAACAATGACCATGATATGAAAAATGACCAATAAAGAGGTAGTTTCTAATTGATGACGAAACACTGCCCCTGCTATTCTCAGCCCACCATATTAGGTTATACACTACAGACAATATTTTTTGTGATCGACGTAAAACAACATAGGTAGATAAAAAGTGAAACCCTTTTATATGGAGAAAACTTGCCCCAGGTCACGGAGGGGATCTCTGGTAATTTACTCCAAAGTTTCAGTACAGTCATCATGAAGGCACGGTCTCGGTCTGATTTCTTTGACGACATAAAAAGGGTAGGTGTAGGAATGACTGTTGCGGGTCGGTCACGTCCCGGTGAAGCCACAGCCGTGAAATTAGGTCGCAGAAACAAGGTTCCAAGCCAAGACTTATATTATACATAAGCATCAAAATTTTACTAATTTGATTTGTATACTGTTAAGGCTCGATTCTGTATTATTATGTAGGCATACCTTCCACCTTTGAAAGTCTTATACCTAATAAACGACACTGCACGTAGACGTTATTCAATTATATTATTATTGTTTCAGTTAGGGATCTAGATGTAAGGTAATATAAAGTTATGAGTATATGATCAGGTCGAGCTCGTCTGACATAGAGTTGAAAACGTTTGCGACTTGGTGGCAAAAGCGTAGCATTTATTTTTTGAGGTTATAAATATTGTGATGAATCTATAACGGTGGGCCGGGCGTTAACACGGACGTATTGGCTTCAGCTAGATTTAATTGTTAATATGAACTGCATACTCTTAATTTGAATTGTTTGATAATTCATCACGATTATGATGAGTAAGTTTTTCTTCAATGTACTACTCAACGTTTTCCAAATTCAAATTTCTCTGATCAACCACGTACGTTAATCAGCTTGAATTGTACTATATGTTGCCGTTTACTTCTTTCGCGGTCAGTTTACCAGTGTTGTCCTTAAAGGGGCTAGATCCGACGCTATTTGCTATCTTATACTCTAATACTCTGTAAGCTCCACATCAGCCTTTATTGCAAGACGGGTGAATCATTTTGAAAATTCTCGAATATCAAGTAGAATAAAAGTAAATTGATTCTTACGAAGCAAAAGGAAAAATCGAATGGTAACGAGCTCAATCTATTTTATGAAACACTAAGGCAGATCTCTCCCCAATCCCCTCCCTTTTTTCCTTTCCTCCCTACCCCCTACCCCTTTCGAAGCCTGCTACACAGGCTAGTGAGTTCTTTATTTTTTCTGTCTTATTTCGAATGATTGCGTCATAATTAGGTCATGACAGGAACGTTTAACCATAGGCTGATTAACCAACCCTTTATATTCCTCCATCATCCTTGGCTTGGGAACGAGATTACTGGTGAGCTCAATAGGCCATTTCAAAGTTTCATCAAGCCTTTGTTTTAAGCCGGCGGGGGAAGGGCGAAGCCTTTGTTTTGACATTGATTTTTCTTGATTCTCAAGCAAGTAAAAATTGTTATTTGTAAATTGCTGTGATTTTTTTACCCAAGGAGCACTTAGGAGCTTAGGAGGAACTCGTTGAAACGTGTCCGTGCATTTCAAATCGAACTGAAATTTCGAAGTGTTGGTTTTTAAGGAGAGTGGACAACCGGAGTACCCGGAAAAAAACCCTCGAAGCAAAGAAGTGAACCAACAACAAATTCAACCCACATATGGTGTCGACGCCGGAAGTCGAACCGGGCCACATATGTGGGAGGAGAGACTCGACTGCTCTGACCACTGCGTCACCCTTGCTCCCCACTCCCACCCATGCACATAAATATCATTTTCACAAGATAGAAATTGATGGGTTTAGTACCTGCAGGGACCGCGCAGAGGGAGGGGCTGGGGGAGGGGCTTTAGCCCCCCCACTTTTTTGCAAGAATAAAAACAAATTAAACAAAAAATAATTTAACAAAAGTAACGGAGTGAAAAATAGCAAAAAATCGTTAATTCGAAAGTGACCAGAGTTTCTGGCAAAGACAAACGAGCAGATAAATAGACAGAATGAAGCATTAGTCGTTACAATTGTAAAATATTTTTTCGCTTCTAACCTAGCAGAGGCAAACGTCTTTTAAATGGCTTCTTTTTCCTGCGGACCTCTCAGGAAAACGCGTTGTTTCGTAATTGGTCAATTTCGATCCAAAGTAATAACTGGGTTTAGTTTATAAGGCGATTCTCAAACAAATTGTTTATTAGTTTCAACCTTGATTTTTGGAAGATCATGAAGTTATTGTTTCTCTTGTTATTGTGCGTCCTAATTTTATCTTGATCATCGCGAAGTCCGTCTTTTGATGTCAGGCTTCACGGCTCGTTGAGCATTCCAATTGCAAGTTTTGTTGAACGCGGTCTGTTTATAAAAACATTTTGTCATCGAAAGTACTTAAACCGCAGAATTGTGTATAGCTCTGGTCATCAAGGAACATTCAATCCGGCGGTTATTACCAACAAAGAAGTGCAAAGAAGAACGAAAGAACGGACAGGCTTTCCACAATTGACATAGCAAACGAATTTACCGACCGCAACACAAACAGAAAGCGTAATTTTGGCACTTTTCGAGTAAATGATGTACAGTAACTTTAATATCTTTCACTAAATTATTTTCAGTTACCGTTTTGTTTTGCCTTGTAAATATTTTGAATGAATAATTAAACAATTATTGAACTCGGCTTTCGTATGATATGAAGATATACAGATCTCGGAGGGTGTTATCCACCGGGCTCAAGCCTTCTGCTTTGGCGGATAACCCCCTCGATCTGCATAACTCTTCATATCATACTCAGCCTCGTGCAATAATTGCTCAGTAATTATACAGCCTTGAGTTCAAGGCATCTCAAGCAAAATCGTTGGATTTCTGGCTTATTGATAGTAATTAAAGGTTGATATCAGTAGTATAACATAACAATCTATGATATTTCAATTTAGTGATGGTGAATTTTCAGACCCGATAGCAACATCACTGAAGATGTGGAAAAAAATCAATAATTTTATCGTTATTCGCATTCTCCGTCACTTTTGAGAAATTGAATAAAAATCCACAAGCATGCCCCCCCCCCCCCCAAAATTTTCCTTCACGCATTCTTCTTTAGCCCCCCCACTCGAAAACTTGCTGCGCGGTCCCTTACCTGGCAGGGGTAAGGGTTGAGGAGAATACGCTGCATTTGTTCCACTCACCTGCAAATGGTCAGGGAACAGTTAGAACAACTCTATTCACTGGAACCTTTAAACCGTATAAAACAGTTTATTCCTTACGACAGTTAGTCTCCCCCGCCCCTCTTCGCCAGAGATGAATACTGTTGAGACCAACACCAAATATCCGTCGACCAGAGGCAACATTCTGTACTCATGATCAGAGTATATTATAAATATGTTATTGACCAAGCGTGATATCAAGATAGCTTGATTTTTGCGTTGCACCAGAGGCCATACTTCAACCATCCTGACTGAAGAGGCTTGGTCAATATAGGATTTTTTTTAATGTCTAATGCAAAACTTCATTCTTTCAATCCGTCTTAAGCTTGTATTTACATAATCACAAAAGAAAGAGAATGTCTATAAGTTCATTGTATTTACCCGTTCATATTCAAACCACAGTTGAAACATTCTTCATTCTACTTCGATATTAAATGATGCTAATCATCGATATGTCGGACTGCATTACAGCATAATTCTGTTGAAGTGTTTGCATAAACCTTCAAAGAGGAAATGTTCTAAAGTCGTATCACCACAGCTGTACATTAATGCATGAGCTTTCTCATAAACAATTTCCTCCAGGATCTTCCGTGACGCTTCATAACTCACGTTATCGTTATCGTAATTGATAGGATGCAAGATCACGCGATCACGTAATCCGGCTAGTTCTACCTCTAAGGATTTTTAGCTGATTTAAATATGGTTGGGCATTCTGAGATTCTTTTGTCAAAGTGTGCTCAGTTCCGAAAGCAAGGTGAATTCATTGACGTGGGTTTAAAAGTTGGAGAGGAAATTTTCTCAGCTCATCGCATTGTGCTTGCTGCCAGCAGCGATTACTTTCACGCCATGTTTGCCCATGCCCCATGAAGGAGTCGAACCAGGAAGTGATCGAGCTAAAGGATGAAGGCATTTCAGCAGCTGCTTTGAAGATCGTGTTGGACTCCATCTACAGCGGAAATCTTCAAGTCAACGATGAAAACGTTTTCGAAGTTCTCGTCGCAGCCGATCATGTCCAAGTAACCAGTGTTGTTCAACAGTGTTGTAATTCCTTGCAAACCCAGTTTGTAGATCAGCCTCGATTTGATTTGCAAACAGATTGTCGCGTCTCAGCGATTGCTGATCGACATGGTCTAAAAGACCTTCAAGAAGCCACGCAGACTAAGGTGGCCTACATTTACAAAGAGATTTGTGAAAGTGAAGAATTCTTGTCCCATATAGACGCTAACAAGTTATTGAATCTTCTCAGTGGAGATGACGTCAGTGCTCCTTCAGAGACTTTCGTCTTCAAATCTGTGATGCAGTGGATCAAACACAAGAAGGAAGAGAGGATGGCAGTGGCGGCTATAAAGTTATCGGAGCGGTTCGTTTGGGGTTGGTGGACATCAGAAAGATCATTGAAGAACTTGACACAGAGGAGATGAAACAAATTCCGGAAATATTCAGCCTAGTTTATGAAACACTCGTGCATAACTAAAGCGCTTCCAACAGTTCGAAGTTTGCTTTAGAGAAGGCTAAACCGAGGTCCATGAGCCAGGTAACAACAAGTTTCTGCTTAGCGGCACGTACCTCAGTTTTCTTATCTACAATAAGCAGAACAAATGAAAAATATAAATTAACGTAAATTACAAGGCGTCTCATTGGCCAATCTAGATACAAAAGAAAATTATATCTTTGTTAATAATACTCTCTATTTGCTTTTTGTGTTTTAGGTTCTTGTTGCATTTCTTCC